TAGGAAATTTACAAAATATCTTCATGGAACATGATCTTTACTTAATATCCTAATGATTTTTGGTATAAAAGAAAAATCAATAATTTTGACCCATACAATGTTTTTTTTGGCTATTGCTAAAAATATACCCAAGCGACTTAAGACTGGTTTTGTGGTCCAGGGTCACAAATGTGACCACTGTATATGTAAAACGTTTAAACTTTAAACTAAAGTCTTCATTAAAAGTGCCAAAGAGCAAAGTTAGAGTGCAAAAATAACTAAATAAAAAAAATCTCTGGATCACAACCAGCAGTAGTAACCACCCTGAGGTATGCCGACCTTGAGCGCCTGGATTTTTTGTTCCTTCCTCTGTTTCTCATACTGCATCTGGCCCATTTTGAGTTTCAGGCTAGAGAGTTTGGCCATAAGCGACTAGTGGCAGAGAGGTTAGCCAAAGAGGAAAAGGAAAATAAACACTTAAAGATAACAAGAAAGATGACAGGTTATGCAAGAGAGACAAAAGAAGAAGAGAACCCCTATACAAGCTTAAAGATAGTAACCTCAATTGTCGTTTTCACTAGTAAGAAACTAGCGTTGAAACTCACCTTAGTGGATTTCAATTTCTTTTCATACTGTAACCGTTCATTCTCCAACTCAGAAATGCGATATCTCAGTTCATTAATCTCCAAAATCAAACCCTAAAAAGGAAAAATGTCTTTAAAAGGCAAAAAAATCTCCATAGAATTTCACAAAGTGTCTCAAGCATTTTAGCAACAACTTGTTTTTCTAAACATTATTTTATTATTAATATTTATTTAATAATGTGAAATTTACTGTTAAATGGGTTAAAGTTAAACTGGCAACTGCATATGTATGCTGTCGATTACCACAAAAAAAAGTTACAATAAAAATAAAACAATTTTAAAAACTTAGGGTCGTTAATGCACGGAATCTAATAATATTAATAACTCGTTTCTAAACACTCACAGATTATCATGGCCATATTCCTAAACTATTTTGCTTCAAAGGGCTTCAAAGAGAAGCCTACTCTCAAGATTGAAATGGTTTGTTTAACAAACAGACTAAGTATTCAATCTTAATGAGCAAACAAAAAAACAAAAAAAACAAGAATCTAGTGACAAGCATCCATTCAGCACTCAGGCCTTTTAGGGCCAAGCTCTTTGTCAGGATGTCTAGCATTCAGCCGTGGATTTATGATTCAATAAACAACAGAGCAGCCTCTAGTTGTAAACACTCCGTGAAATACAGATGCATCCACTTGGAGCAGTGATCCGGAAAACTCAAAGGACAAATCAGAATACACTACAGTTCAAATGTTTTGGGTCAGTACAACTGTACAGCGGTTTTCAACTGTGATAAGAAATGTTATAATAACAATAAGAAGAAATATTTCTTGAGACTTATTTAAAAACTTACCAGCCACAAACTTTTGAACAGTAGTGTACATTAAGTATTTCAGGCTACAGTAGTTCTGATAGTTCAAAATCTAAAATGACATATTATAGTCTTAGTCTTAACAGGATAAAAAGACGACATTTTGGGAAACAAACTGGAGTCTTGCTGAGACAGTAAATTATGTGGCAGCAAAATAACAGGAAACAACAGAAATAATTGATATCTTTGAAGAATGTGTTGACCAACCTAGACCAAACACACTTGCCAGTGCAGTTTAAACAATAAATAGTTTGTATACATGTTCTATAATACTCTAAGAAGAATGAAAAACACAATCACAAAGAAAGGCCTGAAATGGAACGTTAGACAAAACCTGTTTTCTGTGGCCGACTGTGAACACAGGTGCAGAGACTGGTTCATCTCCATGACCCTAATCTGAAATCATCCTCTTGCTTTTCTCCATTTTTGGATGTTGTCTGACTCGGATAAAAAGACGACATTTTGGGAAACAAACTGGAGTCTTGCTGAGACAGTAAATTATGTGGCAGCAAAATAACAGGAAACAACAGAAATAATTGATATCTTTGAAGAATGTGTTGACCAACCTAGACCAAACACACTTGCCAGTGCAGTTTAAACAATAAATAGTTTGTATACATGTTCTATAATACTCTAAGAAGAATGAAAAACACAATCACAAAGAAAGGCCTGAAATGGAACGTTAGACAAAACCTGTTTTCTGTGGCCGACTGTGAACACAGGTGCAGAGACTGGTTCATCTCCATGACCCTAATCTGAAATCATCCTCTTGCTTTTCTCCATTTTTGGATGTTGTCTGACTCAAAAATACCTGCTGAAGTGATAACAGCATTTACCAAGCCTAAATAAAACACGTTATGGACAAGGACCGAGACAAGCTTGTCTGGAGTTCATAAGATAATAGTCTGCTTTACATCTAGTCGTGTTGCTAGACTTTAACAAACAACATAAAAAAAACGTTCCAGTTTGCAGTTCATTTGGGCCAAGAAACGCCCACTTTGACAGGAAGTGTATTTGTAAACTATATGTTAGTGGTAGGGATGTAACGATTAACCGCGAGCCGGTTGAAAATCGATTCAAATATGTGACGATTCAAATCGGCTGAGATGCTAAACAAATCGCGATTCATTTAGAGGTAGGAGTTTATATGAATGCATGTCTGAGGGGAACTTACTGTCTTTAGAAAAGTTTAGATGGTATTTTTTCTATTCATCTTGCCTCTGTATAATGCATATTAAAGTTCATAAGTGCACAGTTGCTTTGTTTACAGCCGAAACCAAGGAAACGCTTTAAGCGTTAAAGAGTAAAGAGAGCGATAAAGAGTGAATCTGCGTCTCATTCAGCTCTGCTGTTTCATGCAGATATTTTTATGTATAGTTTCACAAAACTGAAGTCAAACCATTCTGTTTTTGCTTCAAATTAGAAATTATACAATTGAATTTAGATTCAAAACTGATCATGTTGCATGTATGCTGCATCTTTGTTTGGATCATGATTAAAATGCAGTGGTTGCCTCTCATTTTAAATGGAAAGAGCACAGACAAAGCCTTAGTTTGTTTATATGAAGAGATTTATTTTATTTGTGTTACTTATGTATTTGATTTGGGGCTTGTTTTAAAATTTCAATTTAGTTATTTACATTTACATTATATTTAAATTGTGTTATTTAGCAGACACTTTTATCCAAAGCGACTTACAAATGAGGACTGAGTTGAGTGAATCGTTACATCCCTAGTTAGTGGCCAAACATGGTTTAGGGCTAGTTTATCTGAAATAGTTGAAACCATCGATGTGGAAAACCATTCCAATGGATCCCAACACCCTCTCGCTGAGGACCCTTCCTACTCCCATTCATCCACAGTAGGGCATAGTCCTTAGTGGTAATGACTACTTTCTAGAGAGAAAAGAGGCCACCTAAACCAATTTTTGGAGAGGAAATGGTATCTGGTAAAGGCTGTTTTTTCATTTACCATTTTGCCCAGACAGCAAACAAAGCAGAGAATAGCTAAAAGCCCAACATTCCAGTGCACTGAAACAGACCTCTGTACCACAACAGATCGCATTGTTGAATGCAAGTCTTTCTACTTCAGGCTTGTACAGAAACAAAAGGTTGGCTATACTGCAGAATCACGATTCTAAACAAACATTCAAGTCACTGACATTTTCAAATAAATACATTACACAATTATTTCCCTCATGCATGTGTGCATGTTTCTTACCTCACTATCTCCAAATCTGTCGTCAAAATCGAGTCTCTCTTTCTCCATGGCTGTTAACTTCAGCTTCAAGTTGGAAACCTCTGCCATAAGCTTCAGCTTCTGAGTCTCAAGGGCTGATCTGCACAAGAGTTCCTAGGAAGAAGAGTTCACAAATGGAGCATGAACAAAAAAATCCGTCTTATGAATACATTTTATGGGCTTTTAGTGAGGACGTGATAGGAAACTATGGGCTTAAAATAAGCTCTACTGTGCAGAATGCACTTGACCCAACTGCCAGACCATGTCTCCAATATACAAGAAATATCTTTAAAACCCACCTGCTGCAACATTTCTTCAGTTGCATTTAGTTTCTCACGGTGTTCATCAAGGCACAGGTCTAGGTCCCTTATCTTTTCACCCTGCGCCTCCACTTGATCCGTCAAAACACTCACCTGCAAAGAATGATGATTTTATTTTATTAAAAAATTTATTATTTTATTCAGCAAGGATGCATTAAATTGATTGAATGTGACAGCAAACACATTTATAATGTTTTTAAAATAAATTATATTAAAAATAAATGCTGTTCTTTTGAACTTTCTATTTACCAAAGAATCCTGAAAAAAAATGTACCAGGGTTTCTACAAAAATATTAAGAAGTTTTAAACATTGATAATAATAAGAAATGTTTCTAGAGCAGCAAATCAGTATATTAGAATGATTTCTAAAGGATCATGTGACACTGAAGACAAGTACTGCTAAAAATTCAGCTTTGTCATCATAGGAATAAATTACATTTTAAAATATATTTAAAAAGAAGACAGTTATTTTAAATTGTAATAATTTTTTACAATATTACTTTATTTATGACAGAATAAATGCAGCCTTGGTGAGCACAAGCTCACCTCAAAAATATTTTAAAATCTTGCCGACCTTGTATGTGCATGTACAGTATATACAAAGTTACCTGAAGCACAAGGGACTCTTTATCACTTTCAAGACGATTAAGTCTGTCCTGGTAAACATCACCGGTGATTGAAATGTGTCCATTTGACTGTCCAAAAAAGATATAGAAAAATAGTTTATTATAAAAGACTTCTGGAATCCACCACGACATGTCTTGAAACGGTTAATTTTATGCTTTTAAAAGCAAGTAATACTGAGAAAAACAGGGTCACTTGAGATTCAGGGTTTTCATGAACCAATTATTATGCCAACAAAATGTTAACATTCAGTGAATGAACATAATAATCCACATAAACTGACTAAATATGGTACTATGTGTTGCCTTTCCCTTGGCAGTTGTTCGATTTGTCTCAAGACACACAAGAATAATGTTTCTTGGATCTGCTGTAACTAATATCTTGAGGCAATAATAAAACTAAACTGCACTGCAGTCTTAATTATGAATAGAACTACTGCACATGATGCAGTAATAACTCAATTTATAACACTGAACCCTTATTATGTCAGAATGAAAATCATGAGCATAGGCCTAGCAATTTTATATAAAGCATTAAACCAAAAATACTTCCAACAGGCACAAACCAACACATAACATACTTTTGACTGTCACTGAAAATAGACTACGGGCTAACGGGAAAATAGACTTCCTATAAATAAAGGAATTATAAATAACCATGTACTACCTTACAACATGGCAACACATAGTATGTTAGCTCATGTTCACATCTAGAGTAGACACTGTGAATTCCAGAGTTCTGGAATGTGGTGTACATACCAGGTGACCATGCAGCCACTCCACCATGCTGTCTGCAGTAGAGTCTGTGATCTGACAACGCAAGCTCTCTCTTTCCTCAGTGTCCATGAGCTCCAGAATGCCCCTGAGGTCCTCCAGTAAGTTGAGGGCTCGCAAGCTGCCCATGAAGGGCGATGTTGGGGACTGACAATCAAAGATTCCATTGGAGTAGTCCAGAGCTTTGGAGCCTGAGTGCCAAAGACAAAGATAAATAAAAGCAGTGATAGGGAGTTGATCATGTTTTATTCAGACAATATAATGCGCAAGAAAATGTGTAGAGCTATACATTAAATGCTCATGAGAGTCAAGCAATACAAGAATAAGAAAATATTTTACAATAGTTCACATTTAGCACAATGTATGGCATTTCTGAATTGAGTAATCATTATAAAAAACACAATTATCATGTAGTGTGGAATAAAAGATAGTATGACCTTATAATAAAGCATGCTGTGGGCGAGGTTCTAAAGTCAGAACCAGGGCAGAGTAAATGCTTTAATTGCTAAAACCTCAGGAAATCATGTGATCTGACTTGAAATGTCAGCTTTGTAATAATAAGCCAGTGATAAATTACTTCATATGCCAAACCATTTGGTCACCGTGATAATATCGGTCCAATCTTACTCTATGTAAACCTTAGTAGGTTTCATGAAATGAGTCTGTGACATTTTCTTTGTAGAACTGCAGAACATTTCCAATGTGGACAGAATGAACATATTTACCAATGTGAAGTGAATTATTTTGTCAGGTTTAAATGTGGAGGAACCGTTGGATTTGGAATAGAGGTTTTAATTCACTTTTGGTATGGTTAACAAAAATGTTGAAAAGGCTACATGAGTCATAGGTAACAATTTTACCTGCTATAATACCATCCATTTGCTCCAAGGCTGCTGCCAACATGTCACTGGCATCAGACATCATCTTGTTCAGCTCTGTTAATCATGAATAAAGAGGAACTAACAAAATAAATATTACAGTAAACAGCACAAAATGCATTTAGGCAATCTCTAAACACATTAATAGAAACGTTTTGAAGGCTTAGGCACTGAATAAGTCAAAACTACAAAACTGAATGAAGAAATAGATGCCATTGTGCTTTGTGTTTGATACATGACTAATGTCATTCAGAAAAGTATTACACAGTCACAAAACTTTGGGTAGAATTTAACAGAATTTAGAGCCGGATCAGAATAACATTTACAGAGGCCGAATATACAGTCTACTGTTATTTTACTATTATTTATATACTATTATAGTATTTATTATATACAAATTGAATTTGTTTTTATTTTAATATTTTCAGTTTTCATTTTAATTTCAGTTTAAGTTTACTGTTGTTATGTGCTTTTGTCATTTATATTCTTTCCACTCATTTCTATTTAGCTTTATTTTAATTTCAGTTTTAAGTTATTTTCATTTTTCGTTTTAGTACTTCAACCGAAACTTATTTTAGTTATCTGCCATGGCAACTTTTCTAATTTTCAGTCATTTTGTTTAATTTCATTCAAGTTAATGATAGCAACACTGATGTGAGCACACAAACTACAATGCATGAAAGTATATTTCTCAACCCTTCCCATTCATCTTCATATCTAACTGCGCATTCATCTGGACGGGGTCTCCCTGTGATAGTTCCAGAGAGCAGAGCACATCCTTTGGGTGATAGGTTGGCTGGTTCTCAGCTCTCTGCTGTTCCCTGGGTAACACAGTCAAGCTCCAACAATTAACCACAGATTTTAAAGAATAACTGAGCCATTTACTTCGATTATTGGCACAGTGCTTGTGCTGCTGCTGGGGACACTGGGTACTTTGTTGGGGGACTAGCAGGGACACATTGTTAGACCCTTTTGGCTCGTGTCCCGAGAACACAGCGGTGGCATTCTCTCAGTTTTAATCCTCAAAACATGGAGGTGAAGAGACACCCCGTCATGTTCTGATATCCCATCCACCAGTGTTGATACATTTCTCTGCCGTAACACACAAACACGACAGGCCAAAGGTTAATTTACAGATCTGAAAGAAGGGAAAGTGTGCTATGCTAAGTGGGAGTTCAGTTTTTCTGCACAGAAATGGCTTGTTGTGATCCAAGTAAGAGGAGCTACTCAACCATTTGAAGTCATTCAAAGAAATATGTGAAGCATAAAAATCACAAAGCACCACTCTGAAATTATGTGTTGAGGTAAAGGACAATCCTAAAGTCTGTATACAGTGAATTAGCAGTTAATAATCCTTTAAAACGGGTAAACACAAATTTTGTGTATAGACATACACAGGGATTATCAGAGCAATTTAGTTTGACAGCAAGCCATTTTAAGGGTCTTCTAATGATGTTAGGTCTTATCTTCTAACTAGCAGCATTTACATCGGCAATGGTCTTACAGCAGCAAACCTGTTGTCATAGTGCTAAATATGATCAGAGGTGGGTAGTATCAAACTACTTTTACTTGAGTAAATTTTTGGAAGATGTGCACTTTAGATTTAAAGTAGATTAAGTAGATTTAAAGGTGGGTACTTTTAACTCAAGTACATTTCTAATGGGAAAAAAAATGTACTTTTACTTCGTTACATTGGGTGAGTTTCCTCTTGTAACTTAATTTTTTATTTTGTTTTGCAATATATGTTAAGAAATGTGTAGTTTATTCAAAGTGCGCTGTCTCTTTTTTTATGGGGCATTAGCGATGACCCATTCACAAATTAAAGGTGCTGTATGTAGGATTGACACCGAGTGGTTGAACTAGGTATTGCAGTCCAAATTCAAAATATTGGAGAGGGTTTTCCACCCGGCCCCTCCTCCTCAGACTTGACACACACGCAGGTTGCCAGATTGACGACACCAACAGGAAAGAGCGCACTTGACAATGAATGAAATGAAATACGCTTTGTTTTCCGCCAACTGGCAACCCGGGGTGCCGAAATACAATTGGGTAAACTGGCAGTGGGCAGTTCCCTCTCATAGGTAACTTCAATGCTGCGATGACGTCATTGCTTTGGGAACACCTCCGGTGTGACGAATGTCTGAAGCCCTTATACAATTTATTGGCCAATAGCGCTTAGCACCGCCCCAAGCATACGTCACGTATGCTCATATATGCGTGCTGTGCGCCTTCACGAAGCGAATCATCTGTTGCCCGTCGGAAAGAGATTCTTGTGTTCTAAGCCATCTATTTATATAGAGCAGTTTACTCCTCTAAGGCGGACACAATGAGTTTCCGATATGTATGGATGCATGTTACACAGACTCACGAGGAAACGGGTAGGAAGACCGCTTTGCGGCCTTTATCTATTGTTGTATCCGTGATATCTGTGTTTGTGAGTAAGTTGCTCTCTGGGCTGCTCTCTTTCTGAGGAAGGAGAGATGTTCGTTCAACCCCCGCTGTTCCAGTTCTGCGGTTGCCGAGGCGCCACACGAGCTCGACGCTTGGGGTGACGGCGATGAGCTTAAGTGTACAGAGAGTGAGAGAACGGAATTAATCCCCTTCTCTCTGGCTCTCTTCCCCAGACCGCATGCGCTCATCAGAAGAGCGCCTTGTGAGTCAGGTGGTTAGTCAAATCTGATTCCCGCTCCGGAAGCTCGTAATCGATTCTTTCGGCTGCGGATTAGATGATGCATACTCTACAGCAGCCTCGGGCTCGCAGGCGACACAAGCTGTAGATATAAACTATGGGTTAAGGGGCGAGTTTACTGATATAAAATCCCCGTTGCTCTACTCCCTCCCTGGATCAAGTGTTTCTCAAGTTTATTAAACAACATGAGAGGCACTGATTTTAGGACGTTAAGTCGTGCACTATGGTTTTTGGCGCTTCGAGCTACCAAACATTAGTTTGCCCGGCTAATTACTATTTCTTTCAGCTCCGTTGCTGCGTCGAGCTGAAACAAGTGGAAGAGCTCACGTGTTTCAGAGTATTCTTATAGCAAGCTATAACAGTGAGCTG